AATGCAATACTGAGGATTTTTCTCTTTCTTATTGTTTAACTCTTTTCTCCCTTTCAATTCTCAATTTCCATTTACCTGCCCATGGCGGTTCTAGCTCCCACAGATTTATGGTGGCCCTACGACCTCCAGAGTCGGATTTGTGAAACTGTAGAAGACCACACAGGTCACTGATTCACGCCCTGAGAGCCCTCTCACTGCACCTCCTATTAAGGTTACAACAGCTGCCACTTTCCCCCCTCAAACTATATTACATAAACTTGCTAGTGGATAATTTTTTTGCTTTCCTTTTTTTTTTTTTTTTTAAAATAGCACTGAAGCTAACTGCCACCAAGCCCACCCTGACCCACGGAGGCCCTGGAGGAGAGGAGGAGCTGCTCCAGAGGTTTGCCAAAAGCTCTCATAGTCTTCATTACTCTTATCGTACCTTGCCTTTCCCTTTACACATCTTAATATGTAGATCTCTTCATTGGTTTTCATTTCCTCCCCTTCCCAAAGGTGTCAGTTTTTATGGAAGCCAACTTGTCTTCCAGTTGTGGTGTTCGAGAAGAGTCTTGAACATACCATGGACTGTCAAGGAAACAAATAGGTCTGTCTTGGAGAAGGCGAAACCAAGTCACTCCTTGGAGGCTAGGATTCTGAAGCTCTTCCTCACATAGTTTGGGCACATGGCCAGGAGAGATCAGTCCTTGGAGACGGACATCATGCTCAGAAGGGTGGACAGACAGCGCAGAAGAGGAAGACCTCGGATGAGATGGATTGATACAGTAACTGGGGCAATGGGGGTTGGTGTGTCAGAGTTAGTGAGACTGGCTAAGGACACGGAAGGGTCCAAAGCTGCTGTACACAGGGTCACTATACATCACAGGCAACTCAATGGCACATACCACCAATAACGTACCATGACAGGCTTGGAAGCAGGAGTGGCATCCACTTCCTAAGTAACATGCTCTGGAAACTGCGAACTTTGATAAACAATGAGAGATGTAGAGTGGCTTCTGGGGCTATGAGCTGTGCTCAACTCGAAGGCAATCAACAACTACTTCTTCCTGCAGGGTGGTTTGTGGGTTATAAGTGCAGACCTGCTGTTATCAATCACTTAACCACTGTGCCACCAGAGCTCCCCACAGGCGTGAACCCTCTAATCACTCACTGCTCAGCTGTACGCTAATAATGCTGCTATATGTAAATTACTATCAATTAAAATACAACCTCGGAGTCCCTGGGCAGTTTTATCAGGGGATGCTGTCAACGGGCTGGAGCAGGTTCTGACTGCCCTTCATCCTCCGTGCAACAGACCAAAGCCTCCACTGTGCATAAAGCCTACTGCTGCAGGCACTGTGCCACCATCTCCTTGAGGGCCTTCCTCTCCTGCATGGACCCTCGACTCCTCCAAGCACGATGTCCTTCTCCAGGGACTGGCTGCTTCTAAAAACATCTCCAATATGATATCTCATCATCTTTGCCACTAAGGAGCCCTCTGGCTTCGTATTTTTTTTTTTCAGGGTTGCTTGTTCTCAAAGGTTGCAATTTCTTATATTCAATCTTTAGGATATCTGTACAATCATCGAGCACTAACTGAAGACCCACCATGTCTCAAGCCCTACACCAGGTACCAAGATCATGAAGTAAAGGGGGCGGGGTAAGGGAGGAGCTCCGTCCAGGTAGTTTAGCATCGGACTTGATTGATGATTATTCAAGTTTGGTGGACGACACATTGTCACATGTCTAAGACTAGTCTCAACTTTCTCACTGGTTACATAGAGGGATCTTTGTTTCTCTGTGTGAGGCTGAGCTTTAACCTGGCTACCTTGTACTAAATCCACACCCACAATCTAAAGTCCCCGTGGATGTACTCAGCCCCCAATAGGGAAAGACAGGGAAGGGCAAGACATGGCTTTGGGATGACGCATCTGAAATTTCAAAGTATCTCTAGGAGAACAAAAGAACAGACACAAGGAGAAAGGACAGAAGTTCAAGTCGTCTGCTGTCCCTCCCTCCAAGCTTCAGGTTCCGGTCTCTCAGGTGACAGAGGAGATGCCAGAGTAGAGACTGCAAAGCCACACATACTAGAAGCTGAGAGTAGATGCTGGCTTGAAGCTGGGTCAGGTAAGGACCAGAGGCTCAAAAGGGCAAACCCGAAGGCAGTGCCACTGATGGGAGCCACTGTCACCAGCCAGTGACAGGTGAGAGGCACACGACTCCCGACCAGCTGCTGACGTCACTGGCTATACAGCTCCTGATGCTTCTTCCTGGACTGTGCACAGGCTTCCACAAGCCAGGGAAGCATCTTCCCTCCCAATTTTCTTTCTCAAGCCATCATTTTTGATGAGTAATCCCTGGAATACTTAGTACTAAAATCAGTGAGAAAGTCTGAACACTGATAATCTGAACTCTTCACAATAGTAACTCAACTTGGGGAAGAGAGTGGGTGTCCTTAGAAGACTATTTATTGTCTTTCTTTGTCCCACTGGACTATGGAATCGGGGAGCTCTGGGGCCCAATGGTAAGGAGAGATGCACTACCATCCTGGAGGCAGGGGTTCAAATCTCCCAGCTGCTCTGTGGGAGAATGATGGGTAATCTCCTCCTGTGAGATTTACAGCCTCTGAAAACCCTCTGAAGGGTCAGCTAAGAATCAGTTTCAACTCAACGGCACATAACACCTCCTCTGTGGAACTGATGCCTCTCAACAGCAATGCTGGGAAGGCAGGCTCAGAGCTGTTCTGTGAAGGCGAGAGTTGCCCTAAGAAGCTGGTGAAATGTTAACGCTGAACCTCAGCCATGTGAAGACGATGCTGGCGGAGGGGGCTGCTGGCTCCCAGAGGGCAGCCTGTGGTGGCACTGAGAACACGGACCCCAGAGCAGAGCTCCCTCCTGGTCCAACGTGCCACTGAGAATGTGCCTTTCCGTCCCAGGGACACTGAACTACAGCATAATGGTAACATGTTCCCCAGAAGACTTTTGGGGATAAGAAGGTGATTCTTACGAATGCATCTTGTTAACATATAGTTTCTGACTGAGTAGATCCAGAATGGACATGCAAGTTCTCAGTAGAGATTCCAAACCTGAATGAACTGGTGCAACTCTGCCACAGACCAGGGCCATTGACCAGGGCAGCCCATGGCAGGACTGCAGGTGGGGCTACAACTGGGGTCTGGAGCAGAGCCAGGTCTGAGTTTGGAGCCTAAAGGCACAGATTCCCCTACCTGCTCAGTGCTTCAGACCATGCTCTTCGCCCGAAAGGGCCCACAGCTCTCGAGAAAGGACAGTCACATACAGTTCCTACCCCTCTACGGAGAGCTGTGGTGGCTCAGTGCGAAGAACGGCACTGCTGATGCAGGGATACACAGTTCAAATGCACGTGTAACCTAAAGAAGTTCCCCCTCTCCTTTCAGGAAGGCAGAATCTTCAGGACTCAAGCAGATGACCAGCATCAGCCTGCTGAGAACATTCAGCAGCAAGAACACATCTGAATAAAAGGAAAGAGACAGGAGGGAGCGGGGCCGCACCCTTCCTAACCGGATTGTATGCACTGTCTCTTTACTGTGGAGTTGGAACTGACTCTCAGCTGACCCTCCAGCGGGTTTTCAGGGGCTGTAAACTGCATGGAAGAAGACTGTCCAGCAGTCGGGGGATCTGAACCACCGACCTTTGGGTTGACAGCACAACACCTTACACTAAGCCCCCAGAGCTCCCTAATGGAATGGGAAGAGACTGAATAAGAACTCCTAAGGGATTTATTCCTTTGATGGAGTCCGCTGAGCTCCCAGGAGGCTGCCTGCCCAAGACAGAGATTAAAGCTGCTGAGTCCTTGGCCTTCCACACGTGTATGTCCAGGGGGGAGGGCCTGCTGACCCTCGGCCAGCCCCGCTGCTTGCCCAAGTCGAGAAGGACACTGGGTGGGGGGTCAGATAAGGCACCTGGCACAGGGTACAGTGGGAGCAAAGGCCGGTGTGTCCTGAGAACAGACCACAATTGGGAGGAAGAGCTGGTTCAGCCTGCACAGGCAGAGAGGACGTCTGTGGCGCAGGGAATGAGGGAAAATCCCATAAAAGGAAAAGAGGTCCCAACACCAGGCAAGAGTTTCCCTCAACCAGCAAACAGGAGGGCCTTGGGTTCTCGCACCTGGTCCCTACCGCTGCTCCTGCTGCTTCAAGAGGGGCTCGTGTACTGCTGCTCTGTCACCTTCACCTGGTCCTAGGAAACATCTGCCCTGGATTGTCATTATTTCCCAGAAACTTAAAGTTACAGTACAAGTCCCAAGGGGAGGTGTTCTTAAAAAAGAATCCATTTTCTTCCCAATTTTCACGGCTCTATTTTCTTTCTTTTATGTTAACTAAGTCAATGAACCATATCAAAGAATTACTGAACAGTAAATGAGAAACTAGCTGATTTGCATTAATTGAAAAATAACAGCATTTCCGACTTGTTCACGCAGTAGCATCTCCACCAAGAGTCCACTCTCCGGCACCACGGCCTGAAAGGGTAAGCGCATTGCTTGAGGTAAGCGGTTATTTCTAAGATGTCTGAATTACTCAGAGGCAACCTGGAGAGGAAGATGAAAGAATGCAGGATCCAAGTCCTCAGAGAGCCTGGTCACCCGTCGCTCTCTGACGTGCGTCTCATACCTCCCCACGCTCCAATCCACCTTCCACACCTAGGATTTAACCCGCTCCATGAAAGGTCCTATGTGACTCATGTCTACGCCTCCAGAACCACGCTCTTCCTGGGCGTTCAGTGAATGCTTGCTGAATTGGGGGGTGTGGTGTTCAAAGACTCAGGGAGGCCAGGGCTGCGACCCGAGGGAGGCACAGTGGGGTGAAGTGGGGAGTTTGAACCCTGAGGGAGGCATGATGGGGTGCAGCGGGGCGTCTGACCCCTGGGGGAGGCACGGTGGGGTGAAGTGGTGCGTCTGACCCCTGGGGGAGGCACGGTGGGGTGCAGTGGGGCGTCTGACCCCTGGGGGAGGCACAGTGGGGTGCAGTGGGCATTCTCACTTACGTATTCTCCGTAGGTCTCCTGTGCAGGGGGCGGTGGTGGAGGCCGGTATCCGGTTGGGGGCACTCCTCTTGCTCGGGGGGTGAGCAGCCCTCTTCCTCGGCTCACTGGCCCTCGGGAGGAGAGGACGCCTCTGGGGGTCGGCGTCCCTCGGGGTACACCAACTGCAACTGGCCGGGCTGTGATTGCTCCCCTTCCCCTGTAAACACAAGGTCCCATTAGCCGGATTCGTCACGTCCCGTCCCGTGCTGCCATGCACATGTAATGACTCATGGCAAGAATCCACGCTCCAGGTTTCCGTAATGAGGAGACCACGTGCAAAGCAGCCAGGAGAGCAAGAGGGAACCGGGTGTCTGTCACGAGCCGGAGGTGTCACAGGGACAGCCAGCCCAGCAGCCACAGTCATGGCCATGACAACTCGGAGGTGAGAACACGGGGGCTGGGCATCTGGCTGCAGGACAGGAGGACAGAGAGCTGTCACCCAGGGAGGGTGCACTGCCTGACACCTCGGTGTGCGATGCCAGGATGCCATCCAACTTCAGCCCCTACCGTGGGGTGCATCTTACCTTCCTACCATCCAGACAAGAAACTGAGGATCAGACATTAAAACTGCCTGGCAACACTCAGCAAGTGCAGCCACGGATCCACCCGAGAGACACTAAAGCACGCTTTCCCAAACACCCCAGACTCCTCTTGGTAGTGAGATGGATTGGTACAGTAATTGGGGTGATGGGTGTAGGTGTGTCGGAGACAGCGAGACTCACTCAGGACAGAAGAGACTTCAGAGCTGCCGCGCTCAGGGTCTCCGCTATGAGCTGTAGGCAACCTGATGACACATAACAATACAAAATGCTATTCTTCGATTAATTAGGTGCCGATTATTTCCCGGACTCGTTTGGACACATCTGTGCATCCTCCAGATAAAGCACCAGGCTTCCACGTACAGAGGACGGGAAGTGGTGGTCCAGCCTTTATCCGAAATCGTTCAACCTCTGCTAAACCCCAATAGTGTGAAAGCATCACTTGAAGAAATGCGGATGGGATTCTGCGGCTACGCCAGAGAACAGAGAGGGCTGAGCAGGGCCCGTGGGCAGACTCAGCCTCCAGTCTCTACCTCTTCTTTAGAAACAAACCAGATTTTGGTTGGGATCCCAAACACACAGCTGAAGTTCTGACTTAATATAATAATTAAACAACGAGGTTCGATCCAGATAGCAGGGGCCCACCAGCAGCTGATCTACTCTTCGCCAAAGGACACCAAGGAGAAGGTCTTCTGGGAAGACACATGCCCAAGCTCCCTTGACTCTCATTCTTAAGAGACAGGTGAAAGGAGTCCCTACAAGGGGTTTCCTGTCACTGGCTCACATCAAAGTGCATACAACCCCAACCAGCCACAACGCTCAAAGAGTCAGAGCCAACTTGGAACGAATCCTTGACTTGCACTGAAGGATTAGTCTTTGTCTTCAATTTCTTATAATCTCTGTACTTCTTTGCCCCAAATAATCTCAGGCCATCTGGTGAGGGATCCAAGCTGTGGGGCCTCAGCCATGTCTGTTCACCAGCCAAGCCATTTCCCTACCTTGATGTTAGCAAAACCAGCAAGCATCAGTGGCCTACTGCCCGTGGCAGAGACATTTGCTACCCTGGCAAATAATCACAGGATTCAGAGTCCCCTATGACTGGTAACTGGCACACTGCTTCAGGAACTTTGAGAGCATACAAATTCTAAATCAAAAGATGAATCTGAGTAATGTAAGGCTGTTTGCTTTTCAAACACTTTGCTTTTTAGTTCTGATGCTTAAAAAGATGCTCAATAAAACAAATGTCTTAATTATAGTATCCAACAACATTCAGAATGTATACTCCCAAGTGTTTCCCGGTTTAGTTTTACTATCTGTACTATAATAGGGGAAGAGAAACTCACTGGAGAACAAGCCCAGTGAGAAAATGCTCTGTGAACTGACAGCACCCTCGCAAAAACGAGCCGTGAATGTGCTGTGGTCCAAGCAGCTGGTTGGTATCTGGGAGGGCGCTGGTGCGTAAAATGGCTAAGGGAACTGCCTTAATTCATTTCTTTTTTTTTTTTTTTTTTGTTTTTTCCAAGACAGATTTGTTTATTCTTTTGGTTCATTTCTATATACACTGACCAGCCTCGAAAACCCACTCATTCTCTCATTCTTCTAATCACACTGAAGACTACTCTAGATACACAGTGATAATAGAAAGATGGCCAAGGCACACTGCCTGCTCTCCAAGACTCTAGAGGGATTATCAGTATTCATTTATCTCCAACATTTATTTTATCAAAACTTTTGAACACACAGTGCAAAGCTGTAAGAACTTTCTGTGTAAAGCATCAACTTGGCTTTTTTACCGAATTCCTTTTTTATATGTGAATCTACTCACATTGGCCCGCGTGATCATTTACTAGGGTAAACACATTAAGAGTAGAATTGCTGGGCCCTGGGGTAGTTCTACGCATGCATTTTGTTTTGGAATAAAGTATACGCTATCAAATCCAGCTATGTTAAGTACACATTTCAGTGTTTGTACAAAGAACAGAATAATCTAGCCTGTGTTCTACATCTGTTCCTCCCCAAAGGCCCTCATACTCTTCTGCAGTAAACTCCTGCTAACATCCACAGCCCCTGGCAGCCTTGAGACTACTTAAGTGTCCACACATATTTACATTTTCTGAGCATTCCAGACAAAAGAATTCATACACGATGTGGTCTTTTACCTTGTTTCTTTCACTTGTCATGTTTAGAGATTAATCCATGTTCTAGCATGTGTCATCAGTTCAGTCTTCTCATGGTTGAATAGCACCTGCACTGTGTGACCAGACCAGGTTGTGGCCTCCTACTTACCACGCCCGAGGCTTCTGGATTCTTTTCCTATCCGGCTGTAATGAATACCGTTCCAGGAACACTCATCTATGCCTCTATGTGCACTTGCTTCCATTTTTCTTAAACAGGTAAACGCCTCATCATACTTTAAATGGGCTGTTTTCCAAAGCGGCTGCATCATTTAACATTTCAGTCAGTAATGTATCCGAATTCTAGTTTCTCCTCCTTGGTAACACTGGCTCCTGCCTATCTGGCTATGACCATTTTTGTAGATGTGCAGGGATGTGCATCTTTGGTGTCAGGACTTTCTCAAAGAAAATGTTACAATTTATAGTCACCAAAACATAAGATACTTCAGCTGTGTAATACAGTATCTCGTAGAGGTTTTGATTTTTTATTTCTCTCATGATTAATAACATTGGACACTTTTCCAAACAACATTCACATATAAAACATCCTGCCCACTGATAACAACCTTTACTTTCTGGTATGATATCCAGATATTTTCTTTTTAAAAATTGTGAAATTAATAATTACTTGTTAGAATTCTTTATAGGGCATAGAATAATCCTTAAAAGCATGAATGTTTTAGATTATTTTATAACTACTCTGCCTTTTCTTTTCATCTCAAACATTTTTTCCTGATGATAAGAGATTTTAGATATGGTGATGTAGTTTAATTTTTTTAAGTCACTATTCTGATCTAAGAAAACTAACTACTTCAATATAAAAAAGGTATCTTCTCAATCCATTCTTGCCTCTCTTAACATAGGCCCACTCTTAGAAGGTTTATCCATATGAATTTTGTTCCTGTCTTTAATTATTGTTGTTGATATGTGCTGTTGAGTCGCTTGTGACTCATAGCGACCCTATGTACAACAGCCCTAAACTCTGCTCTGTCCTGTGCCAATTTTACTGTCTCCCACACTCCCATCCGATTACTCCAGTGACGGAATCAATCCACCTCATAGAGGGTCTTCCCCTCCTGCACTGTCCTTCCATCCTCCCAAGCATGATGTCCTTCTCCAAGGACTGATCCCTCCTTGAAACATGTCCAAAGTATGTCAGACGAAGCTTCAGAATCCTTGCTTCTAAGGAGCAGCCTGGTTTAACCCTCTCCGGGATGAACCTGTTTGTTTTCCTAGCAGTCCATGGGACCCTCAATACTCTTCTCCAGCACCACAGCTCAAAGGCATCAATTCTCCTTCTATCTTCCACAGTCATTATCTAATCTTTAATTATATATATTAAAAAAGATATCTTCTTTCTTACATCTTCATCACAGTCATTGAAAAACTGTAAATCTGGATTTCCCAAACATGCAAAACCAGCAATGGCAAAGAATAAATGTGTTTAGGCAGATGCCAAGATACAGAACCTATAATGTTACACAATCAATTTGAAGTCT